GCTCACAAAATTGAATCTGTATGTGCGGGAATTGCATGTAGCATGTACAACATAAAAAAATGTTTTTCCATACAAGAAATGAAATGTACCAGAAGAATTTTTTTTTTCAGTTTTGTATGATCCATGAGATGTCCGGGTATTTCTCTACCCATTTAACAGTCTAAGTCCATCTGACTAATCCCCGTTCACAACAAAAAAGATAGTAGCTATGTATCAAGTGAGAGCAATGTGACAAGAATTTTCATGAGTATATATGCAACTAGTTGTGACGAAAAGGTGATTGTGTTTAAGTTTAGTATTGGAGCCACAACTGTAAACAGAGTTGCCACATTTTTTTTGGCACAACTGATACCACTTTGGGTATTTTGAAAACAATAATATTCATTTCAAGAGTGTGAGCAGGAATTTGTTGACAGCTTGGCATACATGCATACAAATTCAGTAGATGGAGCAAATGTAAGGAGTCCTAGCAAAATCAACATCTACTTCTAGTCACATTGGAATAGTTTATTGAAACTAGAAGAAATAATTGACATACCAACTAGATATGAACTTTCAAACGAAATAGATCAAATAATTACCATTTGGAGAGTGGGAATCAAGCATCTCGAGATTTAGTGGTGTCACCCGGTGCTAGTGGTGTATATCCTGGGTTGGATGAAGAAGAGTCAGCATTATTCTATGAGGGCCCGACAGGTGCAATAACGTCCCATAGCAGTGAGGACAAGAATGCATTTGTAATCTTTTCCCTAGCTTTTAGCATTTCTTGTTGATCAACAATCCATTTCAATTCTTTGTGAAGGAAACTAATAATTCGGTGACTCCTGGGAAATGATGCGGTAAGCTTCGTGACTCCAATGTCATCAGCATGATCTCGTACTAGTAAGCGTGAGTCCACCTTAATAGGAACTTCCTCTATCTAAAAAAATCATCTTTTTCGCTTTGGAATCCCTGCATAACTAGCAAACTAAAAAGGGTAAAGTGCCAAATAGCACCGTGAACCAATCGTGATATGTCATAGGCACCCTAATCTTACAGAAGTGATTATTCGATTCACAAACAAAAAAAAAATTGTCCGCCTAGTCTTTTTTTTTATTATTTTTTTATTTTTTATAGGTAACCTTCAAGTTAAAGGTTATAAGTTGGTGATGTGGCGGTGACTTGGTTGTGACGTGTGTTGTTTTGTAGATGTGGCAGGGGCTTGAGTAGATGTGGCATCCATTCACCTGTTTAATGTAATTTAGGCGAAATCATCCCTAATTTCAGGCGTATTTCGAATCCCTTTCAATGTCTGAAGAAACCCTACCTTAATCTCAGTCCCAAATCCCAAATCGCGACTTAAAGAATCTCATTCCCAAATCCATAATCTCAAACCCAAATCCCTAATCACCTAGCTTAAGCTCTAAGCCCTAATATGTATTTGTAATTCGAAACTTTAAATCCCTAAAGGCGACGACAATCTCAAACCGAGTGGAAGAAGACTAGAAAGAAGATTGGAAATAAGGCTCAAATCTCAAACCGAGTAAGGTATGTAGAACAATATTTAAATATCCTTGTGAATATATGCTTTTAATGTGTAATTTTGTATTGATTGTGATGTAGTGGGGTCATGCTATACTGTCTTTAAATTGAATATATGTTTGTATATAGTGTGGTCCTATATGCTTTTAATATGATGATGAGTGGACCTACTACTTTAGCTTTTCGTTTAATTTTGTATTGATTGTGATACAGTAGGGTCTTGATATACTGTGTTTAAGTTATTTTTGTCTGTATATACTGTGGTCCTGCTCCAGTTAGGCTGATTTTTTGGTCTTGTTGCGCCAGTTTGTAAAGTGTGTAGAAAGTGATAAAAGTATGATGTTGCTTTTATGTTAAAATGTGCTTTACATTTTTTTTTTGTCAGGATGACTGATAGTGTGGAATTAATAATTCATCATGGTGGTAATTTTGTCAAATCCCATAGGTTAAAATATTTGAATGGTGAGATAGAGTAGTGGATATGGACCATGACTTAATATGTTATCCCCACTTAATGAAATATATAGCAGCCCAAAGATATGGGAAAATAGTCTCACTTACCTATAAGTTGACATCTGAACCCTTTACAACTTTAAAACTCTTACATAATGATGCTAGAAGTCTACATTTAGCTCAGATTGCTCGTGAAAATAAAAAGTGTGAGATATATGTTGAGCATGGGGTAGATGAGCCTGAGGTGGTTGGTTTATGTTTACCTGGGCCTGAGGATGATGGGAATGAAGCTGGATTAGTGGGCGGGGAAGGGGGGCAGAAGCTGATATATTGGGTGAGAGATTAGGGGCAGAAGATGAAGGATTGGGTGAGGAAATGGGGGGTGGGGGGGGGGTGGGGGCAAAAGCTTCAGAAGATGAATTATTGGGTGAGGAAGTGGGAGGAGAAGATGAAGTACCTGTGAGGAAGAAGGGAGTGAAGTAGATGCTGATTATGGTGTTGGGAGTGACTATAGTGGCAGTGAACATATAAGTAGTGGCAGTGAGGGTGAGGAGTCTACACATAAGGATAAGAGGAAAAGGAAAATAGGAGTACAAGATGAACCTATACCACAATCTGTGCCCACATCTGAAAATCCTTTAGTAGATGAGGCAGATTCTATGTACTATTATTCACAAGATCCACCAACTGTTGAAGAAGACTTGGAGAATGAGGATGGGAATGAGGTTCAATCAAGGTACAATGATAAGTACCCTAAATACAACCCTAAATTTAATCCACCCTTTATTGAATTAGGCATGTACTTTGATAATAATGTTCAGTTCAAACTTGCCATGATAAGTTATCATACTAATATTTTGTTTTTGTTTATGCTTGTAGATTGCACACAAAATTGAAGACTTCTGTGGCAATGATTGACGGTTTTGGCATGGACATCAAATGACAAATCTGATTGGTTTGGCTAGAATTTTTGGCAAGGACTTTTTTGGCAACAAATCTAACTGAATTTTTTGATACCAGTGCAAACATGCAAATCTGACTGTTTTTGGCTTATGTATTCTATGTAAATCTAAATGTATTCTATGTAGTATGATTTAATGGCTATTGTAGTTGCCTTATGTACTGGTAATGCTTAATGATTTATGGCAAGGTACTTATGCACTGATTTATGGCTTAGCTTGTGTATGGTATTGATTTATGGCCTATTGTATATTATGCATTCATTTACAGTTATGCAGTTGGCAAAACATTGGCATTGATTTATGCATTCATTTACTGTATGTATGGTAGTGATTTATGGCTTCAAATTGCAAACTGGAAATTGGCTTAAAATTGTTTTACCATGTGGTTTCTGTAGTTTTTTGGAGTTGCAATTGAATTCATTTTTATGTTGGTAAAACAAAGAAATTTCATATTTGTTGCAGTGAATTCCAGGTTATATATCTCTGATAAGTTTTATCGAGAATGAGTAAAATATTGAACTGGAAATGCTTATGTTTCAACAACATTCATAACTATGGGTTGTTGTAGATGTGCCATGTTACAGAGTAGGTTTACATGTTATGAGACTTTTTTGGATGTGAAACACTATAAAATATGATGATGTATGAGTGTAATTGTTCTATCAGCTTTCCTGCCACTGCTGTTCTTGATTTCATAGGTGAATCGTGGTGGACAATTTTATGTGTTTAAGGTTTCGAATTTCAACATTTCTTGCAAGTATGACAGGACATGATAGATAGCAGTTCATTCTTCACAGTCTGTAGTTTATTTCTTTTAGAAAATAGTTATTCAAGCCATATGTTTCTGGTATGGGTTAGCTTACCAAATCTTTTCAAACCTCAAGTAAAGATGTGATTGGCATCTAAATTACCATGTGGTTTCTGTAAAATTGCAAACTGGAAATTGGCTTCAACAACGCAAACTGGAAACTTAAATTGCAAACTACCAAATTTTCATCACAATGTCAAGCCATTACAATTTCTAACTACAAATTTTTGCTAGAAGGACCACAATTACAATTAGGAGAACAACACACTTGATCCTCAACACTTGGTTTTATTTTTTCATACCACTATACTCATTTACAATTAATTGTTTAACAACTTCGATTTCACACCTCAAAGACACCACCATCTTCTTTAGGTCTTCATGCTCACCTTCGACCCTTCTTGCACTGTGATCCTTCCAAAGAAAGAAGCCCAAACCATTGCCATCCTATACAATGAACAAACCGTAGCTTTAATTACCAAAATCAAATTACCAAAGCTATCAAATTGCAGATTTGCAGTGCTATCAAATTACCAAAATCAAATTTCCAAAGCTATCAAATTGCAGATTTGCAGTGCTATCAAATTCCCAAAGCTATCAAATTGCAGATTTGCAGTGCTATCAAATTCCCAAAGCTATCAAATTGCGGATTTGCAGTGCTATCAAATTACAAAAATCAAATAACCAAATAAAATACCCAAACAACGAACAAACCCTAGCTTTAAATTTTAATACAATTGAAAACTCAAAATTCATACAAAATTTCACTAACTGCGTACCTTCCATCTTTGACACCCAAAGAATTGTTTTCCTGATTCTCTACTTGTGCAAATTGGAGCTTTCAACCCACAATTATATAAACACTAGACCCGTACTCCATATTTACTCTAACACGTAATGAGGTTGAGGAAGATGACATCTTGTAGAGTTGTGGCTTTGACGGAGGAACTGGAACCAACTTTATAAATAGCTTTGCGATAGGAAGAAAAAGTAGAAGAAGACTTCGTATACAATAGCCTTGCGATAAGAAGAAGAAGAAGAAGAAGATTCCGTATACAATAGCTTTGCGATAGGAAGAAGAAAACTCTGTTATAAATAAGAACAATTAGTAGGAAATGTACAAATCAGCTTCCACGTCATATTTTTACCAGAGCCATGTCACCAAGGCAACAGGGAAACTTGTAAAAAAAGGCTAGGCGAACAAATTTTTTTGGTTTGTGAATCGAATAATCACTTATGTAAGATTAGGGTGTGGCATGACATTTCGTTGTTGGTTCATGGTGCTATTTGTCACTTCACACAACTAAAAATCATGTTAGGTAGAATGAGTTCCTTTCTCCTTCGCTTTCTATCTCGGGTTTCAAGCACTTGATCAAACAACAGCTGCCCTAAGTTAATCTTCACGCCATTAGCAATTTTGTGCAAAAACACGTCTAATGACGCCTTGACATAACATTTGTGCTTTGTTGGCATCCAATTATGCAGGGCAATTTTATGCAACAATGCATATGGAGTCGGAATGACTGATTGCACAATGTCTTTTGCTATCCATAAATGCTTGACCCTACCAGTTAGTTCATATGCCACGATGTCTAAATCCTCTTTGTATTCATCATCTATATTTGGTGAATCGAATAAGGAATTAATCACGGTTGGATTAAAATCATAAAGCCTCCATCGCAGAAAAACTTTCCCTTGTTTAACCAATTCTGGCACAAGTTTTGTGTAAAACTAACATACCACTTTTTTAATAAACCTATCAACTCTAACAACATTCTGCAGCAGTCTAACATTTTCAAGTAATCCTGTGACTTCAGTTTTTACGTTGAACTCATCAAGGAGAAGTTTTCGTTGACAGATAAATTATTTTTTTATCATGATACCGAACACAGGTTTCAAATCATCAGTGTAAAAAATTATGGACTTATCTGGAACGGAGAAGTTGTTGGTCGGTGTCTGGATCACCGGTTCGTCCGGGATGGATTTATATAAGGCTTTTTGACGCTTTGTGGCAGACCGAGTCATTCAGTGAGGATAGATATGGACAACCAATCGTTTTCTTTCGGCTTTAGTAGTATGGGGATTTTCCCTACGAATAGATGACTGCATGGTGCCTTCATTTTCAACAATAATGTTGAAGTTGAGACTCCGTTTGATAGTACATTTGTTAAAACTAATTGGAATATCGTCTTCCTCATTGTCTGTGGAGGGATTGCTCACATAGTTTTCAACAGCAGCATAGATGGGGTCCGAGCTGTACTCAGACGGATCAGAGGTTTGAGGGATTGAACCACTTGTGATTTTGTCCTTGGCAGTAGTGGTGGTTTCCTTCCCAGAGCTCTCGTTTGTTTTTTCTCTATTTGCGGTTCCTAGGTTGATTCGTAGATTTTGAACCATGTATGATGATTTGAGTCCGTTTAATCTACTATTAAGAGAAAGAATCTATACACATGCATGAGTTTGAGTTTGATTTAAATAGTATGGTCTAGGGAGAATTGAAGGCCTAGAATGCAGCCAAAAAGTCTTAACAAAAAAACTATTTTTTAAAAAATTAAGAACGAAGAGAATATGTCAAAACAAAGAAAACAAAACTTAGATTATGAGGTAGAGGATTCTAGAGGGAAAAAAAAGAGACCTACTAAACCCTTTTTTTTTTGTTTATTTTTATTTTTATTTTAAGTGATTTGTTTTTAATGTAAGTGCTAAAAGTAAGAAAAGAATAAAAAATTGTAAGTACTGTTTGAGAAAAGAACAACAAAAAAATGTGTGTGTGTGTGTGTTTTTTTTTTTTAAATGATAGTACGAAATAATAGGAAACAAATGAATCAATTTAATTTCTAAAAAAATAACAATATTGATTGAAGAATATTTTTTTTTAAAAAGATCTAAAGAGAAATGAAAATAGAAAAAAAAAAAAGTGAATGTACATAATTACGAGACTAACTAAACAATACATATTTTTTAAATGATGGAAATTAATATAATGTACACAATCCTAGTTTGTGCCTGAGAATTTCAAACCTGTTAGCATCCAAGGCTTTTGTGAAAATATCAGCAAGTTGATTTTCTGTATGAACATATTCCAGGAAAATGATTTTGTCTTCTACAAGCTCCAGAATGAAGTGATGTCGAATGTCTATGTGCTTTGTTCTGGAGTGTAATACTAGATTTTTCGTGATGCTGATAACACTCGAATTATCGCAGTATAATGTGATTACCTCCTATGAAAGTCCATAATTTGCCACATCCAGAATAATTGGGCACATCTACTTCCTGCAACTATATATTCTGCTTCTACAGTTGATAAGGATATGGAGTTTTGTTTTTTTGCTTAACCAAGAGATTAAATTGAAACCTAAGTAAAAAACCTCCGGATGTATTGTTAAGCGTCGGCCGAGTCCAGCCCCTGCTCAATTTGAGACGTGGCGTTGTGACTTACCATAAAGGGATGTGGTCAAATGGTTAATGTCCACCTACTTATCACTAATTGGTTTTAAGTAGGATATGGCAACCAGGTACCATAGAACTCTGTGATTAAGCGTGCTTGACTTCTAGCAATCTTGGGGTGGTGACCCCTTGGGAAGTAAGCATAGTGCAGCGCTGAGATACAAAAATTGGTATCAGAGCCGAGGTCATGGGTTTGAATCGATGGCGAGGCGAAAGTCGAGTCCAGTCCCAGATGGGATGTGGGCGTAGGTCGGGCCAAGTCCAATCCCAAGAGGAGATGATGGGCGTGTAGGCTAAGGACTGAGTTAGGCATGCTGTGCAACTGGGCTTGGTGTTCAAAGGAAGCGACATGTGCTAGGAGGGGGATTGTTGGGCGTCGGCCGGGTTGGCCGAGTCTAGCCCCTGCTCGATTCGAGATGTTTCGCTGTGGCTTACCATGGTGAGGTGTGGTTAAATGGTTAATGTCTACCTACTTATCACCAATTGGTTTTAAGTAGGATATGGCAACCATGTACTATAGAACTCTGTGGTTAAGTGTGCTTGACTTCTAGCAATCCCTCCTGGGATGGGTGACCCCCTGGGAAGTAAGCATAGTGCAGCGCTGAGATACAAAATGTAGGGATCTGCGTGATATCGAGCACTGGTTCCAACACTGAAACTAATGTCAGGACGACTAGCAGTTAGATATAACAAACTACCTATCATGCTCCGATATAGATTTGTATCAGCACTTTTGCTTGTCTTATCTCGTTGCAGTTTCGTGTGTGTGGGAAATGGAGTTCGTACACTTTTAGAAGTGTTGAGTCCAAATCACTTTACCAGATTATGGCATATTTTCTTTGTGAGATAAACATACCTTCAGAAGTTGGTTTGATTTGTAGACCTAGAAAGTAAGACAGTTCACCTACCATGCTCATTTCAGATTCTTCTGGCATGAGATTCACAAAACTATTAGTATGACTTGCAGATGTTGATCCAAACACAATATCATCAACCTAAACTTAAAGAATTATTAGATCAGAGTTATACCTTTTGATGAATAGTGTCTTATCAACACTTCCCCTCGTTATCCTTTCTTAATTAGGTACTCAGTAAGCATTTCATACCATGCTTTAGGTGCTTGCTTTAGTCCATAGAGAGCTTTCTTTAACTTGTACACATGGTCTAGATGCTTTGAGCTTTCAAACCCTTTAGGTTGTGCAACATACACATCTTCTTTGAGATATCCATTTAGAAACGCTGCCTTGACATCCATTTGTTGTAGCTTGAACCCTAGTGAGCATGCGATAGAAATGAGAAGTATGACGGATTCCAGTCTTGCTATTGGTGCAAATGTTTCTTCGAAATCAATGCCTTCCATTAGTGAATACCCTTGTGCTACCAGATGAGCTTTATTTCAGAAAACTATTCCTTTTTTGTTTAAATTATTTCTGAAAATACATTTAGTACCAATTACATTTACATTCTCAAGTCTCGGTACCAAATCTCACACCTCATTCCTTTGGAATTGGAGTAGTTCTTCTTGCATAGCCTGTATCCAACACTCATCTTTAAGGGCTTCACACCCATTGTTTGGTTCTACCATTGAGATATAGCACGAGTAACCTAGCATCTCACGATAGTTTTACTTCTCTTGCCCCTTGTTCTAATCTTGAGTTGATTTCTCAAATCACATTGTCAATTGGGTGATTTTTCTGTATTCTTGTGGATGGAATTATGTTTGAGCTATCTTTGTGTTCTATATTTTCGATTGACGGTGCATTTTCTTCTACCTGTTCTGGTGTTTCTCCCAAACATGTTGTTTTCTTCTGTACTTCATCATCCTAATCACGTTTTTGGCTCACATGATCATCTAGTATCACGTTTATTGATTCCATGATGGATTTGGTTCTTTTGTTAAATACTCTGCAGGCTTTGCTGTGTGTTGAGTATCCCAAGAAAATTCTTTCGTCGCTTTTAGCATCAAACTTGCATCTTTGTTCCCTGTCATTCAAAATGTAACATGTACTGCCAAACACATGAAAATACTTTAGATTCGGAGTTTTCCCTTTCCATAGTTTATAGGGGGAATGTGTTGGTCCCAAAAGAGGTAAGGTGAAAGTCTAGAGGGGGGGGGGGGGGGGGGGGGGGTGAATAGACTTTCAAACTTTTTCGCACAGCACAACAATTGCTAAGCCAGAGATAAACCAAAACTCTTAACTAGATTGTTAGAGTATGGTGCACAGCGGAAATAAATAAACATAAAGTGTGTGTGAGATTGTGTGAGCAGTGTATCTCGTGTAGAACGAATATGTAAAGAGCAGTATGGAAAGAAAGCAGTAAAGAACACAAGACAATTATAGTGGTTCGCGAGGTGGTGTAATCCTCCTACTCCACTTGCTCTTATCTCCAAGAGCAATTCACTATATTTACCACTCCTTGGTTCCAAGATACAATGAATTTCCGTGATCTAGTGCTTTGATCACAAAGCCCGCACTAATCATGCCCAGTGACACCACACTGCTGCTTCGGGTTTCACATCGCCGCGCTACTATCCTAGGATTTCACGACTCTGCGTTACTTTCCCCCCCGTCTTCCACACTCTGGTAGAAACGTATCCCGTGATCTAGTGCTTTGATCACAAAGCCCGCACTAATCACGCCCAGTGCCTCCGACACTGCTGCTTCGGATCTCACAGCTCCGTGTGACAATCCAGGATTTCACAGCTCCGTGCTACTTTCCTCCCTTCTCTTGTTTTGCTCCAAAACAAGTGTTGTCTTGCTTCCAACTTCTGAGACTCTGTAGTTGATCTTCAATGATGCGTAGGTCTCTTTGATGAAGATAAACACTATGGAATGATTTCTCTTGAATGCTCTGAGTGTTTTCTCTCTTTGAGTGTATCAAGTAAAGCACTTGATTTTTATGCTCTGCTTTGCTCTGTTTTAAGAACTCTCAGAATATTTTTCTCTTGAAGCTCTCTGAGTTCTTTTCTCACTTCTCACTTGAAGATTTTTTGGTATGCTCTGAGTTCTTTTCTTACTTCTCACTTGAAGATTTTTTGGTATGCTCTGTACCAAAATGAGATTTTTGCTCTGGTAATGAGAATCTTTGAAATCCGATCTTCATCATTTTATAGCTGGTAATGAGAATCTGAGTTCTTTTCTCACTTGAAGATTTTTTGGTATGCTCTGTACCAAAATGAGATTTTTGCTCTGGTAATGAGAATCTTTGAAATCCGATCTTCATCATTCATTTTATAGCTGGTAATGAGAATCTGTCCCCGTTTGAGAGCTTGAACTTCATGCGAATGGTTTCCCAAACTTCATCTGATATTCCTCCTTCTCTGAAGTGATCCTTGGCTTCTCAAATTTTACCTTGTTAAATTGTTGCTGGTGAGTTTTGAACTTGAGCCATTTCGCATAGCATATCAAACTTCATCCACTTCGTCCGTACAACTATTGATTAAATCTCCAATCACATTTGATGTACTCCTTTCTTTCCATAGATGCTTGATCTTCAAGTCAAATTCATGCAATCTTCCAATCTTAATTTTCTTCACGAAAATTCTTCTGGGATATCTTCTTTGAGTAGCATTGACGTGAATATTGTATCATTCATCTTCTTCTTCAATTTGTCATTTTCTCCAGAAAAATTCTTGATTTTAGGCTTGATATCTTCTTCTTCTATTTTCATGCATCTTCCTCTGTTTTTCTCTTTTCCAATTTAAATAATTTCCCGATCATGGTCTAAGACTCTATGAAATAAAATTGGGGGATCTACAAATACATATTTGGCATATCAAAACCATTACACTTTATTCCTAACAGTATGTTTTCTACCTGGTCTTGAAATTGCCCTGTTTATGATGTGGCAAGCTGTATTCATTGCTTCAGCCCAGAACCTCTGAGTGATGTTTTTGGTGAGTAACATTACTCTTGACATCTCTTGTAGAGTTCTGTTTTTCCTTTCCACTACCCCATTCTGTTGTGGTGTTTTAAGAGCAGAAAATTCATGTTGTCTGCCCGTTTTGTCACAGAAGTTGCTAAAAATATTGTTTTCAAATTCTCTACCATGATCACTTTTTATCCTTTTGATTTTTCACAATTTGAGTATCTTTTTCTCTTTGTAATCTCAAACATATATTTCAAATGCAATGAATGTATCAAATTTTCTTTTAAGAAATCAATCCATGAAAAGCGTGAAAAATCATCCACACATACCAACACATATTTTTTTTTTCCTCTTAGACTCTCTACAATCTACATGTGTTGGACAAATTAAGTCCATATGTAGTAATTCAAGAGCTCTAGTAGTAGGAATGTGTACTAACTTTTTATGATGCACTTTGGTTTGCTTGCTTTCTTGACATGGTCTACATACTTGAGGTTTCTCCTTGATTGAAAGGCTTGGAAGTCCTCTAACTGCTCCAGACTTGACCAACTTTTCCATGTCATGATAATTTAAGTGTCCAAGTTTATAATGCCAATTTGTGCATTCATTAGTTGTGACACTATTGCACATGAACATATATTTTATCATATAACAATTATCACATGTTCTAATCCATTCCGTGACACATGTTTGTTGAGTATCAGACACTTTGCATTTTTTCTTGGTAAACCTAACAAGCAAGTTTTGGTCACTTAATTGGCTTATGATAATCAGATTGGCTTTTAGACCGTTTATCAAAAACACATTCTCAAGTTTACGCATACCTTCTATGTCGAGCGTTCCTCGTTCAATGATTTCTCCTTTTCTCCATCACCGAAGGTGACTTGACCAGCATGCTCATATGTTATGTCTGTTAGAAACCCTTTGTGTCCAGTCATGTGTCTAAGGCACTCGCTATCGAAGTACCATGTTAATGACATGTTGGCTGACATAGATATTTTTGTCGCCATACATGTGATCTTGGGTCTCCACAGTTTCTTCAATTTTAGCTCTTGTTCTTTACACCGCCTCCAACCATGACCTTGTTTATTACACCTAAAACAAC